AGATTAAAAAAAAAAAAAAAATATTTTTCCACGCGTTTCATAAATTTGAAACCTCGTCACCGTGTATAACATCATACACGAGGTACAAAGAATCGATAAAAATATCGCGTTCGATCAATTTAAAGTCGACGATGGAAAGTCGGCCGGATAGCGGTCCACGTAGCGAAAAAATTCATTGGCTTTTGTTCCAGAAGCGACACTCAATAACGTGAAACGTTGCAATCAGGATCGAGGCGGGTGCGAGCATGTGTGTGAAGATACTCAAACAGGTGTGAACTGCTCGTGTTTCGATGGATTCCGCGTCAAAGGATCTTCCTGCATAGGTGATTTATGTTTCATTTGTTATAATTGAGACTATTGTTCGATTATGGTATACGACGAAGGAGAAAGAATCATCAGTTTTATATTATATTTGGATATTATATTTGCATGATGCAGTCATCGATGATAGATATTTAGATTCAATTGATCATTCGTTTTTTCACGAAGAAGATGTGTTGTAAACTTTTTAGAAGAAATTTATTTATTTTTTCTTTAAATTTGCTTAAGGAATATAGCTTTAAAAATATTTGAAATATTTGCAATTATATAACAATACATCTTCTTTAAATTGAAAACTTTAGATTTTAAATTTTTATAAATTTTCTACAAGAATATTTTTAATATATTATCAAAACAATTTATTAATTAAATCTTTATTTAATTATTTAAAAATCTATTCTTTTTTTGTTTTATTCTATCATCGATAAAAGAATGCAAAAGTTAGAAATAATAGAATATTTCACTTTCCAAGATTGAAAATTAAAAAAATTCGTAAAAAAACAAAGTCATTTCAAGGGATTTATTTAAGAAAAACGAGATTTACGATATCCCTATTCAAAGATCGTATCATTTTTTTTTCGATACGTCGAATTACATGGCCTTCTAACTTTTAAATCCCGTTTGGATTTCGACGAAATGGAAGAGGCATAGCTATAGCCGTACAGCGTCGATTCTAAGGATAAAAAATTCTAAGCCTCTTTATCTGTTTCAACGACAACCATAGATTATGCTATATTTCAATATTGGATCGAACCCAAGGATTTGTCAGCATTATAGATTGAATAATATTTAATCCTTGGAAACAAGGGATTTATTTATGTAATAACCTTCTTCGATTATTCATTAAAATTGTAGATTTGTTTTTTTTATTTATTTTTACGAAATTTTTCTTGTTTGTTTAATAAGATTATGGGAAAGAGAATTTGTAATCTTGTAAGAAATAATATTTAAAAAAAAGTATATAATGTATATTTATAAAGAAAATATTATAATTAGGCTGTAAATGTAATATTTTGATCGATCGAAGAAGGCAAGGATTGATTCGCCGGAATAAAACAAAAATAGAATAAAAAAAACTGCATTTTCTAATTTAAAATAACTTTTGAAATAAATTAGAATCTACAATATATCAATTACAAATTATTTTCATTCAAAAATAGATATATCTATCGCAAAATTTACTTTAAAACTCGATTAAAGCCTATTAAAATTACGAAAACTTCAAACCGCTATAACTCCGAAGATAATTATTTTCAATCGATGAATAAAAGCTCATTAGAAGCGCTGAACCTTGTCCTTTAAAACGCTTTTTTGCTCATCTCGATACGACTTCCGGTTGCCGAGATATCGTCGTGTAAAGGAAAGGGTAATTTTTAACTGTTTACTATCTCCGTCCTTGTCGCTTACTCGGACCTCTCGCTCGCGTCTCGCCTCACTGACCTATTCCAAACTCCAGACAAGTGGCAGACGCGATTCCTGGAAAAACGTAGTACGCGTAGTAGGAAAAAAATCTAGGTCACTGGGCCACGAGCCCATTCATAATCTCTGTCATAACTGTGAAAACTTTGAATTCTTATATCTCGACAACGGATCGAGATATCGGGATGAAACAAAAAACAACTTCAACGGTATATTTTTCTCTATTCTCTGAACGAG